TGTGCAGGAGGCAGCCAATCAATGAGTTACTCTCATCATTGATGTTTTTATCTCTCTCTCCCTTTCCTTTCCTCTCTGAAATCAATAGAAATATTTTTTAAATAAAATATAAAATAAAATGTATAAAAGATCGAATTTTAAAATATAGAAATTTTAAGCTGAGTTTTTTTCCTGCCTTTGTCACCAAAATGTGTATTACATGCAGAGTACATATACAAATATATGCCTGCAGTTTTCCTGTATGTCTAAAATTACAAGGACATTCCAGAAGGAACATTTCTATTTTTAAAATTATGATTACATAGAAAATTAAATTTCACCAACTTATCTATATTCAAAATTTCTCATTTCCAACTAACTTAGTCATTGGCCTGAAGGAAAACCAATATTGCTGAAGTCTCTTCCAGACCAGTAATCCTACCCTATAGAATAAAAGGCTAATATGGAACAACCAGTCCCTGTGACGTGCTCTGACCACCAGGGGCGGAACATGGCGGCTGTTGGCCATGGCGGACAGTGGGGCAAAGGGGGGCAGTGGGCAGACCAAGACACCGAGTGCTGCCATCGGGGTGAGCCCCTGTGATTGCTGACAATTCTTTGCTTCCACACACCGTGGTCCTGCGCCAGGGCCACGGCTCGCACCCACTGGTGCCCGGTGCACGTGGGAGTGGCGGTGGGAGAGGGGCTGCCGGCAGGTAAGGGACTGGGGGCTGCGGTGGGAGGGCTGGCAGGGGCGCGGAAGATGGGCCGACACCCGCCCCCATGCCCACCACAGCCTCGAGGCCCACAGTTCCTTTCAAGGTGCACGGATTCGTGCATCGGGCCCTTAGTAATAATGTATATAGTCCCCCACTTCTCAGTCAGTCTTACATCCAAATAAAGTAACTTTTCCTATAGCATCAAGATTTTTTTTAACTTCATGGTTATAAAAACATGATCATAATGTGTCTTCAGGGAAACAGAATTAAGAGCTCACCGAAAGAATAAATTGTCAAATGACTTCATTCAGTATCAGAATGTTTAGAGCAACCACATTCTGTACTTTATTGTTTAGATCAGGTGTTGGCAAACTTATTCTGCATAGGACAAGACAGTAAATAGTCTAGGCTTTGCTGGTCACCCAGGCTCTGAACCCAACTGCTCAGCTCCACCACTGCATGAAAAAGCAGCCACAGGCAATATGTACACGAACAAACGTGGCTGTTGAAAACAAACAAACACACAAAAAACAAAAAAAAATATTTATTTACAAAAACAGGCGGTGGAGCAGATTGCCCAACCTACAATTTAGATGAAAGTATTTACCCAGTAATAACAAAAAGGACTACTAATGAGTTTAGGGCCACATTTACCTTTTACCAAGGAACCAGTATCTCATATAGTGTTCTTGGGGGCAATTATACATTTTAAAGATAATACTGATCTTTATGAACATAGAATAATCTATCAAGGATTTTAAAATTACAAAAATTCAGGGCACAAAATTTCATTTTAAAATGTTGCACTGCAGATTTCACAAAGAATATTAGTTACAGATCAAAATTCCAAGCAGTAACTCTCTTTCAGTTGGATACGTCCATGTTATTTCTATAGAGAGTTTAATGTTTAAATTCCTAGGAAAATAATGTTTGATGAGTTAAAGATACTATCTGGAAATAAAGATAAAAGGTAAGAATAAGAATGGCCATTAAGAAGAGTGCAACTTAGCATGTTACAGAATGTTGTCCTTAAATTATGGAATCCAGGTGTAACTGTAACTACCCAGAATTCATTTTAAGGAGAGGCACATCCTGTAACCTACAGATCTACAAGGCGGCTCTGGAATCAATAGCCATCATGATCTCTGGGTGTTTAACTGCAACTGAAGCTGCCAAATTCACAGGAACCTTACCTCTTTGTCTTAGGATCCAAATGAAGGAAGATTTTCCAGGCAAGGTTACAGTTAATCACACTTATAACCAGCTGTTTTGCCCTGTGAAGCCTAGGGTGTATTTTCAGCATGAGGGGTGATGTACAACTCCCTTTGTGAACAGAAATTTGTGTACACGTCTCTGCTAAAAATGTGACCCAGTGAGTGTGTGTGTGAACGTGAAGGCGTGCACATGTGTGGCCGTGTGCCAGGGATGGTTCTCGTTCGGGTTTACTTTAGAGTCAGAGCGTGTGAGCCTCGGGGGGGCCAAGGCAGGCAGAGGTCCTGTGTATGAGGCACAGAAAGCAGCTCACTTAATCCTTTCTCGCCAGGAGTCGGGATTTTCCCAGAACGACATCCATTGTCGGCAATGGACACACCAAAATAACGCCGGCGCCACGAGTTAACCACCTCTGTCCTCTTTTCACCTATTATATTTTTCATGCATCATCCAACTTCCCAACCTTCTTCCTGCTTCTTCACACAACGCACGCTAGGTTCTCGTTTTTCTTCAGCACGGAGTTGAAAATGGAGTTGAGAAAAGGAGACACATGGTCAGCTGGTGATGTTAACAAGCTCCTTGCTGCCCTGAGAAGCTGGATGGAAATGGTTCAAGTTACAAGAGGGATCATCATCAGATCTGGGAGGACAAAGCGTAATTCATGAAGCTTCATTCCCGTCCCTCCCGCCCCTCATTTGTTGATGATCCCTATCGTCTGCCTTCAGAGCAAAACCAGGAGTAGGGGATCTGAAGCCATGCTTTCCGTTCTTCACTCCATCCAGTGTGCAGGAGGCCAAGTGGGACTCACACCCACCCATGTGGACGTGGCCCGGTCAGGGAAGCCAGGAGTGGCTAACATAACCACAGCCTAAGACCAAGGCTTTTCAGTATGATCTTGGCATTAACTTCAGCAACTAACAAGGTGCGTGGCAACAGGTGCTTAATAACGATTGGTTGAATAAGACCTTTTTTTTCTGCCAAGGTCCACTTTCTACTTGGACACATAGGTGGAAGTCAGACAGAAGTAGTTAACTCTTTCAATGCCGGGTAGCAGAATATACTGCACAGTCATCACATCAAGTCACTGTGTTTCTCTACAATGTTCACACCACAGGTTCCTGACTTCAGAGTTCTTGCTAGATGCTAGCAGATGCTAGCTAAAGAACATGTTTTAAAGGCAACCAGAACCAGTTTTGAAATTAGAACATTGTGAATGTTAATATAGAATAGATCAATTAAGAACCCTGGCACCAATATATAACAAAACATCACAGTTCAGTCAAGCAAAGACATGTCTCAGCAATGCAATTCCAGATGGGTAATGATTCCAGAGCAAACTAAAGTTCGAAGAAAGAGCCTTTATTTAATGGCTTCCTTAATAGTAAGGATTGGGATAAACCTAAAGTAGAAAGAGTAAGAGGATATATTTTAAGTACGAATAAAACTTTAAACCTCAAAAGGACCATCAAGCTACACAGCACTGTGCAACTCCTTTGGTATTTTAGATAAAAGTGGGGAGGATTGTAAGCAGGGGCAGAAACAATTTTGTAGGACTCAAATGTATGTCCAGAATGTGATTTTAAAAGATATTACCTCTAATTGGGTTAAGGAAATTCCAGAGAATAATTCATACCATTACAATAAAAAACAAACAAACTACTGTATAGAGAAATAAAAATATTCACTTTCTCCAGATTTTAAGAAGAGACAGGGTTTTAAGGAAATACGATGATCATGTCTTTTTTTTTTTTTAATTACGTTCCCTCCCTATGACACTGTCTCTATGTTCACCAGCGTTCTTGTCCCCATCCCTAGCTCCCTCCAAGCCAGCCAGAGCACAGGCTCTCCTCGCAGTCTCTAACACAAACCACTAGGGAACAATGAGTTACAAGGACATTCCAGGGAAGAAAAAATGAAAGCAGGCCTTAAATGAAGGTCCCCAAGCGACTGTCCCAGCATCTCTTTCAATTAATTGCAATTCCAATTCCTGTAGTTTACAGGCGGTGTCAGGAGCACATTTACTACGAACCCTTCCTTTTGGATTTATAAAAAGGCCCGATTTCCTAAGGCTCAGGTTACAGTGAGCTGTGAGGGAAGAGCAGCATGAGGAAGCGCTCAAATGGGTGAGCTGAACCCACACCACACTAACGAAGGGTCTTACACAAAAGGCAAAAGCCGAAAATAAGCACAAACACTGTGCTGCTCATTTGCTCAGTGTAAGGCCAGTTCCGTTATGGCTCAAATCACAGGGTCTTATTGGTGAGTGTTGTGGTCGTAACTGGCACAGGAGGACTCAGATGTCCATCTCGCTGCAAACGACCTGTGCTGTTTGCCTGTTGCTTCCCTCTGGTATTAGAAAGGAGGAACAGAAAACCAGAGGCTAGAACGTACACTGTTCCCTCAGGACCCTAAGTCCTGGGGCCAAGACGGAGAGGCCTTGGATCCACGGCTCTCATGAGTCATCCTGTCACAGGTTTACCCAGGAGCCAGACTGGGTTTCTGCAAAGCAAACCCTGCCACCTTGCTCCGTTCCTTAGCGGGAGATGATGTCTGTGCTATGCAAGGCTTCCACACCTCTCTATTTTTCCTCTAGGTAGCACCTTTTGTCCAAAGAAACAGGCATACTTCAGACGTAACACTGGAACTGAACACCAACTAGCACTGCTCCATATAAAGTTGTCTTACTGGAACAGAAACTACCTTGGTTTTCTAATTAATTTTCAGTCAATTCAACAAATTTCCAATTAATTTAAACATTGTTTTCTTCCATAGAATTTTACAGAGAATTTTCAAATGCAGAACCACACATTTGTTACTCAAAGGATTTTTTGTTTTTGTTCTCACTGTAAAGAGCACGTGAGTGACTGAATCCCCGTGTCACACTTCTCTAAATGAGGAAAGGGGATATTTGTATATTAGTTTAGCTGGTATATCTCTTGCCAAGGTTTAAAGTATGTTTGAGACATTTATAATTAACTGAGAGACATTTCTAAAAAAATGCATGTATGGCTAAAGTAGATAATTCTAATTAAAGTTTGTGCAACTCTAAGCTTGAGTAATTCAGGTTAAAATGAATAGGTCTTTTCTTACCTTTAGGTCTTTCCAGCTGTCTAGGAGCTTGGTGGCCAGATCGCTGATGTCGACGGCTTTGTCCGGCTGCTCCTGGCTGCGCTCACTCTCCACGTCGGACACGCCCTCCTCCTCGTCCTGGGACGGCGTCTCCTCCGCCGTGTGCTCTTCCGGCTTCGCACCGCTCTCTCCCGGCTCTGCCTCGCCCTCGGCCTCAGGGCCGGGGGCCGGCAGCTTGCTGGCCTCCCCAGCAGCGTCCCCGTCAGCCTTGGCCTCAGGCAGCTGCTGGGTGAGCGGGGGCTGTGACGGCGACTCTTCCTCCTCCTCCACCGGGAGGCCTTCCACCGGCTCCTGGTCCTCTTTGCCGTCCTTGCCTTCCATCTCGCTGGTGGCATCCGAGATGGCACTGTCCATGCTGTTTTCGCTTATGATTTTAAGTCTGCGGAACACGAGCTTCTTGGGGGTGTCTGTGTCGGCGTCCGCGCCCAGCTTGGCGGAGGGATCGGGGGTGTTGAGCGGGGTGTGAGCCCGGGACGTGTTCTCGCTGGAATACCCATCGCCTTCGCTCAGCTGAGGAACCGCAGTCTTGGTCTGAGACCAGCGCTGGATGATTGGAAGCACTTTGCTTTCTTCCAACATATTTTTGGTAGGAATAGGTAAATGTTCCAAAGTCTTTATAATCTGATTAAACAAAAAAAAAAAAAAAAAAAAAATATCACATCACTTTGTACACCTGACTTTTCAAGCTGCTGGATGGGGCCAGATCATTTCTGCAGGAGCAGTGGGTTTTTTGTTTGTTCTGTTTGTTTTTTTTTTACTGTCTTATTAAAATTAAGACCCAAGTCTCTATAATCACAAAAGGTTTCAAATGTCATAGTGACATTTATCTATCAAAGGGAAGGAAAACACTTTCCCCCGCAGTGAAGGCCAAGCTCATTCACTGTCCCTGACGGCACCACATCCCGTCCACCTCGGCAACAACTGGCGTCAGGCCCGGGAGCTGCCGGGCTCACCTCCTCCTGAAGCTTCCGGTTGCTCTCCCGGCCGTCCCCCAGCTCCGCCATCCAGATCCACAGCAAGGACAGCCCGTGGCGCTCCAGAAAGGACTTCAGGCGCGACTGGGAGTGAGTGTTCTTCATGGCGGCAGGCGCAGTGCGGGGTGTGTGTGTGTGGGGGGGGGGGGGGGGGGAGGAAGAACACCACAGAAAGTTAAAGAGGGCCCAATGTTAAAGCGTTTGGCTACAGTATTCCAAGAAACCTAGAAACTACTTCACCTCAACTAGAACTGAAAAATTGCTTTAAAGTAAGAGATTATAATCTTTTTTGATACCCAAAATATATCCAGTCAACCTTACTTTATTAAAGTAGAAAGTTATATAAACATTAATATGTCATTTACAATGAAATCAACTCTAATTTCTAGTCCTTCTAAAAGGACTAAGAAAAAATTCACATTCACCATTTTTGTTGAAAAAGCTAAAACGATAAAGATAAACTGGAGATCACGGTTGTAATTTCTTGCTTTGAGATCCCGCGGTTAAAACGGCTTTGCTATACTCATACCCATGGGGAGAGCGTCCAGCCCTCTGTCCACCTACCACAGCAAAGGGACACGTCAAGCCATGAACTGCTGCACAAAAACTCACCACGTTCTGGTTAAAGAGAGATAGCAAGTAGGATCTACTAACAGACTAAATGCCGCTGAACTCTCCAGCCGTTAAGAACGCATGCTTTCCCGTCATGCAGAAATCACATATCCTTTTTAAATAAGAGAAATTCTTCTCATCAGAATCAGTCCTTCTTTATTCATTTATTGTGAAGTGTAGTTTAAATGTCCCACATCACATTCAGAAATAGAAAATAAATTAGTAGATATCAAAGTGCTCACCTGGATGAGCTTGAGACAGGTAAGTTTCTGTTCCAAAGTCTCAATTCTGACCATCAGCCGAGACAAGCTGAGCACCTGGTTTTTATCCGAGAGGCCCTCCCCGTTCTCCATCAGCGCCTCCAGCTCTCCGTCCACCTGCCACATGAGGAAAACGTCTGGTTATAAACAGCATAACCAGGTTCCACGGTCACCCTTTCGATTCCGTCAGGGCACATGCTGGGTTGTGGGCTCAATCCTCAGCAGGGGGCGTGAGGGACAGAACATCAATGCTGATGTTCTGTCCCTCATTTAAGGGCTTACTGTGAGAACTAAACAAGGTGAGATGCCAAGTGCTTAGAAGAGTGCTTGGCACACAGTTGCACTTTCTATGTTCTGTAAAAAAAGAGCTGAAGCACACACAATACTTGAAGAGCTTTTTTTCATATTGGGTGGCAGAAACACGGGTGTTTATTATAAACTTTCCCCATTTTTTGCATTTTTAAAATGGGATTTTTCAAAGCTTTCTGCTATCTATGACTTCTTATAGAATTCACTTTCTTCATAATAATTCTCTTCAATTAATTTTGGCTTGATGACATAATCTTATACTTTTATACATTATACTTTTATCTACTTCCCTATGTTGGCTGCTGTCTCCCCCCCTCAATCATAAGATTGACGCCATTTACGACTGCTACCATATCCTATATAATAATGAGCTAATGTGCTACTTGGACCAGACAGTGAAGGACCATCTGGACGACCCTCCAGATGAGGCCGGGCTGCAAGGGCCGAGCCCCTTGCCGAATTTCGTGTATCGGCCTCTAGCTGGTTCTTAACAAGCCCAGGAATGAGCTAATGCAAAAGGTCACAGTGGGATGTGCTAACCAACCTCCCTAGCCCCAGGCGCTTCTCCTGACCCCCCCAGGACTCACAGGCCCGGAGCCAGACAGAAACATGCAGGTGGTTATGAGGCTAAGAAACACTGCTCCGAAAAAGGACTCTTCAGAGGAGGGAGGGGGACTGTCCCAGCTGGAGCCCCTGTAAGGAACGAGACTCCTCCTGCCTCAGAGTGAGGGGGAGCTGGGGAGAAGGAGGCTATCACTTGCTGTTCTGATTATTAAATGAAAGACCACGTGAGACCATTTCTCCCTCACTCTCAGCTACCTGTTACCTTTCAAAACTCACTCACATTCCAGAGGGTTTTCAGAGATTTTAAGAACACTTGCAAGTTTTAGAGGTAAAAAACACGCAGACCAACCTGAAAGATCAGGGCTACAGAGCAGCCGCCCTGAGCTAACAGAGAAACACTCCATTTTACTTAGGATGAGAGTGTGACCAGCTCTAAAAAATCATTACCCCCCCCAAATCATTAGTCCACGTGTCTTCAAGATGACTTCAAACGTATCCAATTCTAACGTCTGTGCCGCTGAAATAAAAACAGCAATCACTCATCCTTCTTTTCCATGATTATCTCACCTGATCCTGAATTTCTCTGGTTGTAGTTCAGACTTTTCAAACTTCAATCAGAAAAGCTACCTTCCAAGCCGAGACCAGTTTGGCTCAATGGATAGAGCGTCGGCTTGGGGACTGAAGGGTCCCGGGTTCGATTCCAGTCAAGGGCATGTACCTTGGTTGCGGGCATATCCCCAGTGGGGGGTGTGCAGGAGGCAGCTGATCGATGACTTCCTCTCATCGATGTTTCTAACTCTCTATCTCTCTCCCTTCCTCCCTGTACAAAATCAATAAAATATATTAAAAAAAAGAAAAAAGAAAAAAGAAAAAAGAAAAAAAGCTACCTTCCTTAAAATGTCCATGGTGAAATTTGGGAAAAAGCCAGAACACTTACAGAATCTTTCTTACGGGATCGTTCCTTCTTCATTTTCCCTCCTGCTGCTCGAATGCTGACTCTGTTCTCCCCTCCCAGGTAACCCCGGCAATTAGCTGACCCACAGAAACATTTCTGCGCTTCTTTTCTGTTCAAGAAACAAGGATAAATGTCAGTATGTGAAAGGAAGCCATGTAAAAATGCTGAGAGTATAATAATTACAAGAGAGAAGTCAATAAAGCCTAAAGAAACAAAATTTATTCTGATACTCTAAAAAAACCTGATAGTGCCCTAACTGGTTTCACTCAGTGGATAGAGCGACGGCTTGCAGACTCAAGGGTACCAAGTTCGATTCCAGTCAAGGGCATGTACCTTGTTTGCGGGCACATCCCCAGTGGGAGGTGTGCAGGAGGCACCTGATTGATGTTTCTCTCTCATTGATGTTTCTAACTCTCCCTCTTCGTGAAAAATCAATAAAATATATTTAAAAAAAAAAAAAGAAAAAGAAAAAAAAACCCTGATAGTATCTAATGCCTGAAAATTGCTCTTAAAAATTTTCTCGCCAAAACCTGTTTGGCTCAGTGGTAGAGCGTCAACCTGCGAACTGGAAGGTCCCAGGTTCGATTCTGGTCAAGGGCATGTACCTTGGTTTCGGGCACATCCCCAGTAGGGGGTGGGCAGGAGCAGCTGATCGATGATTCTCTCTCATCGATGTTCCATCTCTCATCTCTCTCATCTCTATCCATCTCTCTTCCTCTCTGTGAAAAACCAATAAAAGGTATTTAAAAAAAAAAAAAAAAAAAAAAAAAAAAAATATATATATATATATATATATATATATATATATATATATATTTATTCTCTTTCCAATCTTTATTAGCTAGACAAAACTAGCCAAGAGGTTAATTAGTAATTTCTTTATTTTATAAAACTACCTACCAATATATGAAAATAAGAGCTCATATACATATTTGGACTAAGCACAAAATTGCTGGAATAGTTCAAATATCTATTACATGTAAATATTTAACTGGCACATAGAACAACTAAGTGTATTATTATAAAAAGATGTACAGAGGACAGTACAAGCAAAACCAATGCCCAGATACATTAGAAACGGTGATACCGGTCATTATACTTCATTTATTAGCTGAGATAATATCTATAAAGAACTTCTTCTCATCAAATATTTGGTGAAACCTAAAGTAGAATTCATTTGAAAAGACCGGATAAATGCTTTCTTTCTTTTTTAATTCTTAAAATTGGTTCTCATCAATTATTATGAGTGCAATTTTATTTCAAAAAATACTATTAATATTTAAGGATTCTACATAAAGTGTTTCAAACTGCTGCAGTTGTTACCTACTGATGCTTAGGTGTTAATAGGAACTCTCCCACTTCTGATGAGCGAGAGCCTATTTGAGCTAGCTCCTGAGCCCCTTTGACACGACCCTCCTAATCTTCTATAACAATAATAATAAAAAGATAATACGCTAATTAGACCAGGTGTCCTTCCCAATGACCTTCCGGACAAACCCAGGGCTTTGAGGAAAGCCCAGTCGGTCCTGTGTGCCAGAGGAAGCTGGTGCATGCAGCTGGGGGAAGGAAGGCCTATAGTTGCATGAATTTTGTGCATGGGGCCTCTAGTCTTATATGACAATAAAAGCGTAATATGCTAATTAGACCGGATGTCCTTTTGGACAAAGCCGGGGCTGAGGGAAGCCCGGGTCCGGGTGCCAGAGGAAAACCGGTGCCGGCAGCTGGGGGAAGGAAGGCCTACTCTTGCCTGAATTTTGTGCACCAGGCCTCTGGTATTTTATAACTGGCTTTCTGGTATGAGATAATCCAGTATCACCTCATTCAATTCCTGTTTTAAGCCTGAAATCAGCTTTCTCCAAGGAAGCAGTTCCTTTTTAGTGGGATTTTGTAAAACCACAATGTAGATGTTGGGGTCTTCATTGCTACTTCATTACTTATTGATTTTGGTAAACAAAACTAGGTGACAAATTTTTTTCCAAGTACAATATGGCAGAGATGAAACAAGTTTAAGCATGAGTTGATAACTGATAGATAAATGAGGAATTAATGATGAACTGTACTATTCTCTTTATACACACAAACAGTTAACATTTCTATAATTAAAGTTTTAAATTACATTAGAAACATACTTATATATGAAGCATGAATTTCAGAAGAAAATTATGCTGTTCATGCACAATGTCCTTTAACGGCCCAAAGTGCCATCCTGTAGGAAACTCACAAAACTGAGTCCACTGTAGACACGAGCTGGTAATAGAGGTGACTCTCAGCAGCTCCCATCAGTTCCCTGTCTCTGTAGCTGAAGCAGCAGCAGAGACACACACTCACCCGTATCTCTGGAACTGGTAGTCAAACGTCAGCTCTGAGCCTGAAGGAACCAGTTTGGTGGTGAAAAACCCAACCCT